AGCTCGCATATAAAACACAAAAGTTTGAACGCACTTGAATCACAACCATCGACCCAACCGCTGTAGCAGCATGAGCAGCACGTGGAGACGGCGGCTCTCCAACGGCGTTAAGTCTGCACGGCAACACAAGAACATTCTTACTCGGGAAAAGAAAAAAAGCAAAGAGAGCGTTCGTTGTCACTAACCGGCTCCACTTGTTTGAAATAATGTCAAAGCAGTGAACGTCGGCAGTCGCTCCAGCCAGCCCTGCAAGATCACACACAAAACCATGAGAAAAATCCCGAAAAGCAGCAATCACATCGGATTACTACTTATGCCAGCATTTCCAGCGGGTGGTGGAGTCGGAGCTGCGGCGGAATTCCCCTCGAGAGCGGTGGCACCACCGAAGAGAATGAGCCGGGGGCCGATATACCCCGCCGTGCCTTGCTCCCCCACCGCGGCCACCGAGGTGAGAGTATGCCCACACCGTGGCCCGGGACCATCTTCCTTTTTTTCTATGATCGCGTTCACTACCCGATAGCTGGGAGCCGGCCTGGGAGGTCTAATGAACGCTGCTTGCTGTGACTGCTGCTGTGCCTGGTCTGGAGTTCCTGGCACTGGAGCCTGCTGGGACGCTGGATTTTGCTCGTCCTGTGAGGATACAACAGTAGCAGCTGGTCGAGGAGGCGGCGGTGGCGGTGGCTGCGAAGAAATCTGCTGAGGCTGCTCGAGCATAGCTCCCATGCTGGCGGATTCCACCTCCATGGTGATAATCTCCAGCTCCTAGCGCTAAAACCCTCCTCCTCGTTCTTCTCCTCACCTTGGCCACGGATTGCCGCCTCTAGGCAGCGCCACCACATCCTGTCCAGCGGCCGCCGCGGCGAGCCAAATCCTCCATCAAAATCCCGGAGAACCTAGCCGCGCTCACCTATCTCCAGCCCTCACATTGCCTCCACCGGACCATTTTCCCCCCGAAGATCTGCGCTGCCGCCCTCGCGGCGGAGGCGCTCCCAAAATCCGCGAGAAATTTCCACCCCGGGAGCGCTGGATTTCACCCGCGGCAGCACTGGCGCATTGCCTAAACCCTAGCTCGCAGCGCCGGGGATCGACCTAGATGGATCCAGAGGCCAGCAACAAAACCTGGATTCGCCAATCGCTGGGGAGATTCCCACGCCCTAGGAGCTCCCGCGGCGCGGTGCTAGATCGCTCGTGGATGCGCCATCGTCCATCGCGCGTTCGCAAAGCCGCCACAGTGCTCTACTCCCCCCACTGGTGTTTTTGGGACCTCCGTAAATTTGAGAGGCCATACGGAATTATACCGTACTTTTGTACACTCTATATGTCAACCCTAACACCAGGCTCGAACTCGTGACCACTTTTACCCTTGGGGAGTTTAGTGGGGATATTTTTTTTCGCTGAAGGAGGGCCCAAGTGACCAACTAGACCAGCACAAAGGCACATAGACAAGGAAAAGCTGCCGAGAGACTAACGCAAACTTAAAAGCTCTCGCCTACTTTATCTCTATCTTTCTTCCATCAAGCCCCGACTTTTAACAAATTCTTTTCGATTCATGGTCGCAGCAGCAAAGCACCGGTCAATCACATTGGTTCTTCGGTAAGATCAATCTTATTGTCACATTGGTTCTTTGGTAAGTTCACAGCGAGTTCATAGAGAGTTCTACTAGCACACACTGCTCGTTTTTCTAACAACTTTTAACATTCTTTTCGATTCATGGTCGCAGCAGCAAAAGCATGGATCAATCACATTGGTTCTTTGCTAAGTTCACGGGAGTTCATAGAGAGTTCTACTAGCTCACACTGCTCGTTTTTCTTCTGTAGAAAACCAAAACAAAGGATTGAAAAAACTTGGCTCGCTGGCGAGCTAAAAGCACCTATAGAAAAAAGAAAACTTCAAGCTAGTACCTGGCTCTCAGCTTCTGGTTGGATCTGGTAACTGGAGGCAGTGGCCTGGGAGAAACCGGCTTAGTTTTCGCTGCGCGTTTCGTCGACGATCGCTTGGAAGTCCCGGCTGCCTCGGCCGAGGACGAGGAGACAGCCTCCTCCTCCAAGAGGAGAGGCTCAAGCTCCCTCCACTCCAACTCTTCCTCGTCCCCGTCCTCGTAGCTGATCTGTTTCGAGAGAACTTATAAATCGGTGTAGCCAGCACAAACGTACCAAAGCCAAACAGACAAAACAACCAAAATTTGACACACCTTGTAGTATCTGGTCTTACTGGAATAGCCCGCTACTTCTCCGTGGAAAGTTCGGCCGTCAAACTCCTTCGTGAGTTTACGTCCCCGTAGCTTCGAACCTCTGGCCCGTGAACTGAGCCCCGGAGTTTCTTCCTCCTGCGATTCCTGGACTTTTTTCCCCTTCGTAGCGGCACTGAGTCGCTTCTTCTGGGGGCTCACGGACGCGGCTGACGAGGGTTTAGTCTGACCGAGCTTACGTTTCCCCGGACTTTGCTTTCGTTGCTTCCCTGCCGGACTGACCACCTCGGACACTGGAGTCTGTGAAAGCCGACCACTTTTCCTGGGTGTGCCTTTGCTAGCTTCCGTCTTCGCTCGCTTGGCTGGACGCCGAGGTGTCGCCGTCGGCTTGCTCGCTGCTGCTTTCTTGGCTTTGCCTCCGGCTTTCCCGACTTTCGCAGTTTTGGCTTTGGCCGGCCTTCCTCGCTTCTTTCCTTTGACTTGCACTTGTTCTTTCTCTTGTTCTTCTGCTTCTCCTTTCTCCGTTGCTGCCACTGTTCCTCCATCGTCAGGGTTCACACCAGTTTCCACTTCAATAGCAAAGCTCTCGACGACTAGAAGCCGCTGCTGTGCCGGCTCCGGCTCTTCGACACTATCTCCCCCGTTTTGTTCTATGGCCTGGTTCAAGTCAATCTTTTCCTCGACAACAAGCTCCAGTGGCTTTGTCTTGCGCATCTTCTTGCTGTGGCAGAATTAGCAGCGCAGCTCCAAGGTAAGCTCGAGTGGCATCCAAAGTCAAAAGAGAAACACACCTCTTTGGCGTCGAGGCCCCACCCCGGCGCTTCTTAGCCGACACTTGTTCCTGCGCTGCGATAAGTGGCTTTAGCTCGGCCCACTCGAGCTCCTCACTATCCCCATCTTCATAAACTACCTGTGGAGAAAAGCACCATGTAACTCGGCAAAAGAGAGCTAAAAGAAACACATCTACCTTATACCAGTTTGTATCCGGCTCGTACTCCGACACAGTCCCGGTGTAAAATTTCCTTCCAAATTTCTTGCGGATCTGCTTTCCTTTCAGAGCATCCCCACTCTAAAACTCACAGCAAAACCATCGATTAAACTCTACTCTTATCCTCTCAAGAACAAAACTTACGGGGACATTTGAAGGGTCATCCTGTTCGTCTTGTCGTTCCTCTGCCGCGGCTCCTGTCAGGGAAGAAGATTACCCCCAAGGTTAGAGAGAAATCATGTATGGAAGAAAGGTTAAAGAGAAAAAAAAAAAGTGCGAAAAAAGAAAAACCATTTTCAAAGGGTTCTAAAAACGTATGCACGCTGCCATTGACAACCATGGCCAGAGGAGCTTCTCTGTTGCGTATGTCGATAAGTTGCGTTTCGGCTTCCATAGCCATAACCTGGAAAAACCTTACTTTTGAGTCAAAAAAGAAGGCAAACCCACGCCTCCACATTTTCGGCTTTGATCCTTGGAACCGAAAATTCTTTCCTAGGCGTCATGGCAACCTCAATCACTCACACATTCCCACTCACAAACAAACAAAGATCCGCCTACAGTCAAAATTTTTGCCCTGGAAAGCTGGAAGACACAAACCTGGGCGAGAAAAAATCGCACTTTCCACCTCCAATGCGGCTAGAATTCCACCGAGAGATCTTAACCCTAGAACGCACTAAGGTGCTCGTCGCGGTTCCATCGCGCTTTTTAGCCTAGACACCACTTTCTTTGCGTCAATAAGGCTCAGTTCTTTGGCGCTCCTCGTCACTTCCGGGCACAACGTCCTCCGGGGAAGCGGCCAACCGGAGACCGCCAGCTGTGTGCCACGTGAGTTTATCCTCGATGGTGCTCGGGGATTGACGGCTACGAAGTGTCCCCGTCCCAAACTCCCACTTGGCCGTTCGGTTAGTTTCAAACTTTTGTCCGTATAGGCTGTACGGGGCATACTCCTTGCGAATCTACCGTCCGATCTAGGCGTGCTCTACCGTACAACTTCCACCGTGGTCTGCCGTACAACTTCCACACTTGCTTGGCGGCTCGCGCTTTGATCTCGCCACTGGAGGATTGGATCTGGCAAGCGCCAAACAGGCTTCCCCAAGCAACGCGATTCTCCGCGAGGCAGGGCATTCCATGGATCAGTTCCTCCACGCTCTCGATCAGCCCAGATCTTCCCAGGAGATCGCTGATGCAGCACAAGTGCTCCACGCAGGGCGTGACTCCGTGATCGCGATTCATTGTCGCGAGATTGCGCAAGGCCTCGTTGAAGAGGCCGAGATGGTTGTTCGCGATCAAGACGCCGAGAAAGGAGACGGCGTTGGGATCGCCACTCTCGATCTCCATGTCGTAGAAGAGATCCAGCGCCTCTTTTGCGAGACCCATGCGAGCATAGGCCAGGATCATGGTGTTCCAGGCGATGGTGTCGCGCTCTAGGACGGTGTCAAACAATGATCTTGCCTGGGCAACGCATCCAGCTCCAGCAAATGCCCCTACCATGGACGTCAACACCACTGTGCCACGCTCGGGAGCGTTGACTATAGTTGACTTCGCGAGGCGGACGAGCTGACTTTGCCCGAAGGCGGCCATCATGGCGGTCCAGGAGAGGATGCTGTGCTCGGGCATCGTCTGGAAGATTCTTTCGGCCTCTGTGGGGTACCCTGCCTTTGAATATGCAGCTATGAGGGAATTGCAGAGAATAACATCATGCTCGGGCATAGAGTCAAACAGACACTTGGCTTCCTCTAAACTCTCGCAGTCTAAGTAGCCATTTAACATTAATGTCCACGTAACTAAGCTCCACTCGGGCATGGCATCAAAGATGTCCTTGGCATCTTTCATATGCTCTTTCAAGGCATATCCCGAGATAAGAGCATTCCAAATAATAACATTTCTTTCGGGGCATCTGTCAAAGGTTTGTGTTGCGCTAGAAATGTCTCCACAATTAGCGTAAGATGAGATTAATTCAGTCCACGTGACAATGTCTTTGACCGGCATTTTGTAAAACATGGCTTTTGCCTCGCGAATATTCCCATTTTGGGCATATGCTCGCAGCATAATCGTGCAAGGGACTAGATTCACCTCGGGGATGGAGCCAAAGATTCTCTTTGCTTCGCTGATATACCCTTCCAAAGAATATGCTTGGATCATCACTGTGGAGGAAACGACGTCCCAAGAAGGCATCTTTTCAAACAGGATCTTTGCTGCGTCAAGTTGGCGATTCGCGGCATATGCCTTGAGCATCGCAGTCCAGGATACCCTGTCCCTCTCGGGCATCCTATCGAAAACTCCTTTGGATGTCTCGCAATCGCCGTTGTGGGCGTAGGTAACGATAAGATTCGTCCAGGAGAAGAGATTGGGATCATTGATCTCGTCAAAAACTTGCTGTGCGTTCGCAAGATCCCCAAACTTGCCATACATTTCGATCAGCAAGTTTGCGAGGAATCTCTCGCGAGAGTAGCCATCGCGGACGATTTGAACGTGTAAATCTCTTCCCTCGTCGATGGTGGTCACTCTAACCAAGGATTTGGCATAGAAATGCCGAGTTCTTCGCCTCTTTGGCAAGTTTCCAGGAGCGCGAGCTCGAGTTTCTAGCAGTTCCATAAGATTATCTCTTCCTGCCCGTCGGATCTAACCAAAGTGCTCTTTACAGCCGTTGGATCTCGACATTACAGACAAATGGGAATATTTTCCCCTGTTAGGGTTTCACGCGCGATGGTGCCCGCAATTCGATGAGCCTGGCCTCGATTTCTCCTCTTCTAGGCGCTCCATCTCTAGAAATTGATTCTTCTCGTCTCGAGCTGCCGGTTTTGAGATAGATTTTCTCCGGCGGGGTTTCCAGGATGCGGACGAGCTTCATGCTGCTGCTCTTCGCGCTCGCTATTGCGGCCTCCACGGCAGCGGTGGTAGCAGCGGCGGTAGCAGCTCCTGTATGCCCCGTGCCATCGCTGGAGGAGTTGCTGCTGCCTCTCCGGGATTCCTGCCCCAAAATCACTCGCAACGCTGTCCCCAGGATCTGGTCGACATCGCCTTCCAGGGTCATCGAGGTATGGCATTGCGTGATTTTCGTCTCTAGAGGCTTAAATGGCGTGATTCAGCTTGGCGAGGGAGCCTTGGAGCAGGCATTGAGCAACGAAACTTTCACTGCTGTTCTCTACTACGCGACGTGGTGCCAGTTCTCCAAGCAGCTCAAGCCAATGTTTGAGACACTCTCGATGATGTTCCCGACGATCTTCCATGTGGCAGTGGAGGAGTCTTCCATCAGGCCAGGGTATGTTCTTCAAACACGACTTTTCCTTTTGTATTTTTTAGTGGGGCTGTCGGTGGGCTGCTAAATTCACTCTTGCGAACACTGTTGCAGAGTGTTGTCAAAGTATGGAGTCTATAGTTTCCCAGTGCTATGCTTGCACAGTGGATCGTCCAGGTTTCGTTACTCGGGCCCGAGAACTTTGGAGGATCTGACGATGTTCTATGCCAATATCACAGGTACTTTTCCGTGCTTTTTTTTCTTCTACAGAGTTACTCTTGGCTTTTTGCAGACATGCCACCGTCCAAGTTGGTGAAGGCTTTTGGCGCAGAAAACAGTACTTCCAGTGAGCCCGCTCTGTCAGAGAGGCTTCAAAACGATAGTTACTTGGTGCTGGCGTCGTGGTTTCTCATTCTCAGGATCTTGCTGCTGGTTTTGCCGGTGGCAGTGAACAGGGTGAAGAATTTCTGGGAAAGGTGCCACCTTTACAGGATGATGAAGCCCAGGGGACTCAACGACAACCAAGGAGTTGCAGAAAGAGGCTTCAAGCACAGGCGGCGATTGTCCGTCCCAGGATGGTCTCACCAGATCACTTCTCCATCGTCGTCGCTGGCCATTGCCGAGAGCAGCACGAGAAGAATCGGCCCAGCAGAAGATCTTGGCGGTAGAATCATGTAGGTGTTCGTTCCAGGATGGATTTCTCAGGTGAAGATTTTTCATGGCATCATCCAGTTTACGTAGGCACGGCAAGAGTGAATGATTGATTTTGGGAATGCTGCTCCACATTATCAGATGGATTCCACAAAACGAGAGCTCGAGCTATGGTGAGCTATTCCTGGGAAGAAACTTTCTCTGTCTCCAGTTCCGCCGAGAAGCAGCAGCAGCAGAAATTCCAGCTTCCGGCTTGGGTAACTCGGCAGGCAGCGCAGTAGCGGCATTACCGAATGCATCGAGAAGAAGGAAAGCCAGGATTGGAGAAAAATCAAGCGTTCCTCCCAGTGGTGGTATCAGTCCCCGGAAGAGATTCAAGTAAGGATCAGTGACAGTGCTGCGGCGAGAAAGGATGAAAATGGTGTCAGCTCTTGGTGGTGCGAGGACAAGAAAAAATCGGACCTGATTGGATTGACGATGGCTCGCGGAGCGTCTGGAAACCAAGTACAGATAATCCGGACGATGAGAAGAGTGTTGTAGAGGCTGAAGAAATTCGTGATGCCTCTGGTGACGACGAGCTCGGCGAGAGAGTCCCCGGGAATTATCGCGGCAAAGTTCTGGCAACGAAGTGGGCTGCTACGATTCGAGAGAATTGCTCGCCTGGATATCTGAGGATTGGAAGTTTTTTTTTTTTTCCGGGAGGAAGGATTCTCGACTCTCAATCTACTCGCATTGAAAGGAATGGAAGGATTCATACCTGGGAAGCTGTCAATCGATCCGGGAAGAGATTACGTAGCTGTGGAGGAAGCGAAGCTAGCGCCTGTGAAAAGGCCTCCTTGATTCTACCCTGGAGCTCTTCAATGCGGGATGCCGCGGACCTGGCGAGAGGATTGTCGAGCAGCGCGTGTGGATTGGGGAGCGCGAGAAGGAGCATTGGCGCCGGAGGAGCTCCTCCGCCATTGTTCGCCATAGCCGAAACTTAAAATTTTCTTTAAAACCCCTTAAGAGTGTAGCTCAAGAACCCTAGAATTTAGGGTACTGTTTGCGATGAAGAAGGCGCCAGTCCAAGAGGCGGAGTTGAAGAACAAGGCGGGCACGGCGTGGAGCCATTCGTATCTCAATCAGAAGCCCTGGCATCCGCTCTCGTATCCCAATCAGCGGCGCAAATGGATCGCGGAGCAGACACATTTGCAGCGGGAGCGCCGGAACGAGGATGTTGCGCGAGAGGTGAGTTTGGGAATTTGGCTGGCTTGATTGTTGATCCTTCTGCTCCACAGTTTGCACAAGAGCAAGAGTTTTATCGGCAAACTGCGATGCTGTCCAAGAAAGAACAAGAGAAGGTATGGCTTTAAATTTTTGACTAGTTCCACGAACGATCTTAGAATCATTTTGGCTGACTACGATAATTTTTTTTTTCCAGGCCGAAGCTATGAAAGCTTTGAGCTTCATGTATTTGCGACCACCTGGTTACAATGCTGAGAGTGCCAGAGCAGCAGAGATTGCCGATGAGAGGAAAAAACTTGGTGATGATGACCCTGGTCCATCTGAGGAGTACACCAGGTATGTATATAATCTTTGCTCTAGATGTGGTGCTTAGCATCTGTTCTTTCTTTCCAGGCCACAGCCGGAAAAGAAAAAAGCCAGGGTGTTGGATATATACGGGAGGCCTGTGCCAACTGAGGAAGAGTTTCCTGCCTTGAAGAATGCTCCCAGGTAAGTTTTAGAGCTACGAGAGATGATACTCACGTCTCTGTCGTGCAAGCAGGCTCGATACTGGAACTATTGCTCGTGCAAAGCCATTTGGAGTGGAGATCCGAAATGTAAAATGTGCTCGATGTGGAAGTTTTGGCCACCAAAGTGGCGACCGAGAGTGCACCATGAAAGATACTATTATGCCAAGCGAGCAAGCACGGCTGAGGCGAGATGATCCTTTGAATGCGATGGTTGGACAGACTGAAAACGTAAGTGTGTCTTGTGTGGCGTGTTCTTATCGTGTTCTGACAATGTCATACTGCAGAATAAATGGGAACTGAAACAGCAACTTGGAGGCATGAGTCCTCCCCGTGGCGGCTTTAAGCCCGACGATCCGAATCAACAGATAATCGCGGAAGATGATGTTTATGACGAATATGGAGGTAGTTTTCGCTACGTTGTTTTCTAGTGTAGTAATGTTTTATTTTTCGCAGGTTTTCTGGGAGAGGGATTGGCCGACGCACTTGCATCGTTTTCACGTGACCGTTTAAAAAGGGACAAAAAACGGCACAGGAAGGAGAAGAGGCATAAGAGAAAAAAGAGGAGAACCGACGATTCAAGTAGCGACTCGGAAGATATGGAACCCACAAGAAAACACGGGCATAGAAAAGACGGGAGGGAGGGTGGAGCTACGGACGAGGAAGGAAAACCCGATAGAGATGAAAAGAAGCACAGCAGACGATTGGACGACTCAAGCGACTCGGATTCAAAGCATGGGAAAAGACACCACCGAAACTCGAACAGTAGGAATAGAGACGGAGAGAAAGACAGGCACAGGGACAGGAAGGATGCAGGAAGGGATCATGGTGGTGGAAGCTATGATTCGAGAAACGATCATAACGACGCCGTGGCCATTAAGAGCCGAAGAAGCGAGCCTCCTGTCGACAAGCACAATGGTGGAAGGGGTTCGAGGAAGGATGACGAGGCCGCCGACACAAGCCAAAGGCACAGCAGGCACCACCGTCGGTAGAGCCGGGGTTTTGGAGCTTCGCGGCTGTGCCACGCCAAGGCCCACGCGTTTTATCATCTCAAAGCAGGGAAAAAAAGAAAGGAAGGAAACAGGAAAAATGGCGCTTTTTGAGGTGGAGGAGAAGGATTGAGATCCATGACGACGATGACAAGCTCTGCGGTACGCTTGGTGCCACTTGCCGCAAAGATGCGCATGAAAGCCAAACACACTGGCCAGCACAGGACGAGATTTTCCTGGCTTATCCAAACAGAAGGTGAGTAATTTTTACTCGTTTTTTTTGTTTCTCGCTTTCGCAAAGCTAGAGCTTGTCTCGAACTTTCACCAAACAGTTTGACTTTGTCTCAGCTTTTCTTCGCTTTCTTTTTCTCGCAGGTGGGACGCGAGCACTATACGACCGAAAACGAAGTAGCAAAGAGCTTGAGGAGAGAGCGCGTAAGAAGATGTGATCAATAGTGTGATCGAGCTCTCCCTTTCGAAAGAAGAATCGTGAGGTAAGTCTCGTGGGGTCACAGGAAATCTCTCCACGCTTTCAATGCGCGTAAGATGATCTTAGCGTTTTTGGATTGATCAGGAAATCTAGAAGAAGTTTCTAAGAGGAACTTAAAACTTAAGAGGAAACTCCCGGCGCTGTTCAAAGCTTCTCGCGCGGGAGTAAAAAGAAGGTTTTTACGTCGCGCATCAAAACGTTGAATTTATTTGAAGATTCTTTGTCTGTGTGTTCATACTAGACCGGCGCCGGCGCAACGGCTAGTCCACGCCGACGTGGTCGTTGGAATGGTCCAGATTCCACACGCAGACCCTCGAACCGACGGCCAAGGTGCTGCCACGTAACGCCCCATGGGCATGTGCATGGCCATGTGTCTTCCTAGCTAAGCCCTAGGTGAGAGGGAGAATCGGAGCTTCGTGCGCTCTCACAGCAGCCCCGCGGCGATAGAGGCGCTAGCGATCCGCGGAGAATTTTCGAGCGCTGCGATTCTTGCAAGGTAGATCTTTCTTCCCTGGCGTGATTGACTGCCTGGATCGCCGTGGTGTTGTAGCTGAGCTAGGATGAATCCCTTGTTCGCTCGTTCTTGGCCCGAAATATCCTTTCCTTTCTCCTCTCAAATCGAATCCCTGCCTGCGTGAGGAAGGAATCGACTGATTGATTGGTCTTGCGGTGTGTTTCTTGGGAGAATGGTTTGATGTGAAGCGAATTTATTTCGTGTGCTTGAGCCTGAGCTGGGGAGGGAGCTCCCCCCTTTTCCTCTCTTCTATGCTATCTCTCTCACTCACATACTGGAGTGTGGTGTTGTACAGGGAGCCGAATTTATGATTGACAATTGATTCACTGACTGGAAAGGGGGGAGCTTTCACACAATTCCCTGGGCAGTGAGAGCTCCGGACAGGTCTGAAGCGAGAATTTTATGGAAGACAGGGACTTGTAGAGGCGGCTTTTCTGTTGATCATCGCGATAAGGTGATTGACTTTGGGTAGGAATGATATCTGGCGCTGCAACGTTATGAGTGGTAGTACTCAGTATCATGGATCTCAAGTGCCCGCAATGATGCACTGGAAGCAGTGGACGATAAATTCGGCTCTGGTTCTTCAGAGACTACAAGAGGGTCTGTAGTGTAGACGGCGGAGAACCCAGGCAGGAGGAAAAGTATAGAACAGGATGGGATCAGGACGGGGTAGTATGATGGAAAGCGGCAGGAGAGTAGTCGTGACACTGTTTTTTATGCTGGCGATGCTGGGATCGTTGATGGTTTCTTCCGGGCCGCTTTTCGTTTCAGTCACGGATATCACTGTGCTCCTGCTCTCCGCCATGCTCGGCTGCTCATCGTGCTTATTCTCCCTGTCGGAGTGGAGGGCTTACAGCTTTCGATCTTCGGTGATTGATATCCCTCTCTTGTCGCTCATCCGATCGGTCATCATAATTTGTAAGTGTTCTTCCTTCTGTTTTTTATTCTATCTTTTTGGATACAATCTGAAGATATGTTGCTCTTCAGGTGCGTACAGCCTGTGCAGCAGCCCGAGCTCCTACAGGCCGTATTTTGGAATCACGGTTATTTGCGGTGTATCTACGGCCATCTTCTTAACAGCAAAAGCTGCTTTGTTTAGTTTTGGGGTGCCTCCAACCGTGCTCGAGGAAGTGCAGCACATGCGGAATTCATGGGCCTTGCCTTTTTTATTCTTGTCCTCGATGGCATTTGGTCTTGCTCATATTATTATGGCACACCGAGCGCGGTATCAAGCAAGTCGCAAGTTGCTGTTTCGATGGGAAGACGAGGAAGCTGTAAGTTTGCACGGTCGTAAAGCATAGTCTTTGACCTCGGAACTTCGTTATTTGCTACAGGCTACTGTAGACAAGAAGCATCTCAAGTCCCTGAAGAAGCTTTCAAAGATGTCTCAGCTACTGGACGGGAAGTATCACAAAAGACGCGGAAGTGATTTACCAGCAAGCTCATTAGCCGATGCGGACAGCCTCTTTATGGATTGCAACAACGTCCTTGTTCATTACAAGCTGGTCGAAGGACATGGCAACTATCAACGCAGGGGACCCCGAGAGCATGACGCTTCACCGAAGGACGTCGGCTCAACCGGAAGGTATCCGGTTGAGCAAGTTTTAAGCGGCTGCGACAACATACTTGGTGGCGGCTCTGCCGAAAGTGGCAATGGAAAGAATGGAGTGATCTTGATCCACGGTTTCGGCGGAGGTGTTTTCTCGTGGAGACATGTGATGAACCCGCTCGCCAGACAAACGCGTTCCACTGTCGTTGCATTTGATAGACCAGGATGGGGGTTGACTTCGCGGCCGAGCAGGAGTGAATGGCAGCAGAAACGTATCCCAAATCCTTACGAACTCAAGTCCCAGGTAACTTCGCTTTGCTCTCTTCTATTCTGTGTTATGTGTTGACTCTCTCCCAAACAGGTGGACTTGCTGTTCTCGTTTTGTGACAGACTCCTCCTCCGTTCCGTTGTGCTTGTTGGCCACGACGATGGAGGCCTTCTCGCTCTCATGGCAGCTGCCAAGGCGTCCAAGACGAACAAGGTTGGTTTTTTTCTCTTTTCCCGATTTAAGACGATGGCACTGAGCTTGAGCTGTCCAGGTTGCCGTTAAAGGAGTTGTGCTCGTTGGTGTGAGCCTTTCCAGAGAGGTCGTACCGTCGTTTACACGAATCCTTCTTCACACGTCTCTTGGACGGCAAATGCTGAGACCACTGCTGCGCTCGGAGATCGGACATGTCACCAATCGACGTGCGTGGCATGACGCGTCTAAGCTTACCGCGGACGTTCTCGAGCTTTACAAGGTCCGTGCAAAGCAAAGCCCACCACTCTTGAAACAGTCTCTAACTCTCTCTCTCTCTTGCTGAACAGGCACCTTTACGTGTCGAAGGCTGGGATCAAGCACTCGCAGAAGTAACACGATCGTCCGTTGCCTGCACCGCGAGAGCTGCCGCCGAGTTGCTTCAAACAGTCGAAGATTTGCCAGCGCTTTTGGTGGCAGGATTGCACGACATGCTGGTTCCGTTAAAGGCTGCGCAGTCGCTTGCTACAAAGCTCCCTCAATCCGTGAGTTCTTTGCATCCTTTTCCTTCCAAGTTCTTACGTGGTGGTTTTCATTGCAGAAATTCATTACTATACCAGGCTGCGGCCATCTTCCACCCGAGGAGTGCCCCGGGGCATTGCTCGCAGCCATGCTCCCATTCATACTTAGTATTTTTGACGCCAAGGATCCACTCTAGCCCATCGCCAGAAACTCCAGCAAGTGTACATAAAGAACACTGTCCGCTAGGAATGAAGCCTCGAGGATCTGTACACTAGACGCACACACTACTATCAGCCATCGTAGAGAAAAACGGGGAGAGAGAGCCGTAGAGAAAGAGCTTTCAATCTCAAGAAGGGAGTGAAGGCCTTCCTGGCAAAGAAAGAGGTTTTGTAAATATAAAGCTTTTATCTTTGTTGTCAGAAGTTCAGCTTCTACCTTGAGTTACCTTGAGGAACTTCGAGTGCTGGTAAGATCTTAGTTGGCTTAAGAAACTTTTTAACGATTATGCTCTTGAAGTTGTGAATTTAGCTTCTTGAAAATTTTTGCCTGGGAGAGTTTGAACTTAGTTGCCAGTAAAACGTCCCAAGACGAGCTGAAAGATTTGGAATGAAACAAGTCAAAAACAACAAAAAAAAACGTACCTGGGACGTTCTTGCTCGTCTTCTTCTGTGCCGGACAAGGATTCGAGCGTTGAGATCATTGTTTCTACGACCATGCTTTCGTTCTCTAGACTAACGTGTGAAATAACAAAGTGAGCGCAGCTTTTGGGAGAGCAGTAACTCTTCATGCCTGGGATTTCCAGTAAACTCTTGGGCCTCGCTCTCGTCCATAAGTGCAATGCGAAGTGCTGCCAGTAGTTTCGTTGGGAGCCCGGCCTTCGCAAATGCGCTCTTCGAAAGCCACGGAGCTCGAACGAGATGCGAGACACCAATGTTGTAGCGTTCCATGAGTGCTACTTTCGCGGGAGACTCGGGTATCTCCAGCTCTGTACCAGAGTTTGATAACAACAGCGTGAAAGAAAAGGAACAAGAGTCGTCTTACCGACAGGAATTGTGTCGTATGGATTGTTCTCGAGAACGAAACCGTAGAAACACAGCAAGTCGATGTTCGGAAGGGCTCCATAGCTGCTGAAGCACTGCATCCCGGCCTTGCAGGAGCGGAGTGAATAAACTTTTACAGGCTCTCTGGATAAACGTCCGGATGGCTGTCTGTGAGGCGAGGAAAGAGGCTGTCAAATTGTGCACGCCACATGAAGTGATCCATTCGGGCCTCCTCCAAAATTTCCAGTCACAAGTATGAAGTTCTCCCTGGCATACTTTGGCTACACAGGCTTAAAACAATGCTGAGAGTGCTACATTGAAAATGCCCGGGTTTAGCTGCCGGAAGAACCCTAATCTCAAGTGCCCAGGGATCTTTTTAAGTGGCTCAATGGACGGCCAGGATGCTACATTGAAAATGCTCGGGTTCTTGGTTCTTCCTGGCGGTTTTGATTTTTTACACTCTGCCTGCCAGGCTCAAATCGGATTGCTGCTTCCGCTGCGTGCAAATGGAGAGGAGGATCCGTCGGTTGCAGCGAGGGTCGGAAGGAGCGCCGATTTTGTTTTGTTGTTGAGGTTTCTTCGTCGGCATTGGAGATTTCAGTGGCATTTTGTTTGTCTCGTTCTTTTCCCGATCGATCAATGGCATGCCAGACAGGGTCGAGCTCAATCTGAATCAAATCTGGCTCCAGTGCGAAGATTATCCTGAGCTCGCAGTCCAAATCTCCACTACGTGCTGGCGACATTGTCGAAATGCTCCCGGGAGATCGTTTCTTCAAGTTTATGCTGTGTTCTTCTCTTAAAGGGAAGGCAGTAGCATCCCAAAGTGACAATGTGCTTGCTTCCAACAAGTGAAAGAGGCAAATCGAGGACGATGAAGCATTTGCCCGAGCTTTGCAGCAGCAGGTATCTATCTCTTTTTTTCTACCTTCGTTCATGAAGCAAGCAACTTGTGAGCTCAGGAGATGGCGGCGACTGTACGCTCTAAGAACACACGAGCTGGCGAGCCCGAGAGATCGAGAATGCTTCACAGCGCGACGACGCCTTGTGGTTTCCAGCTACTGCGTGTTCAAGGCTTGCCCGACTGGGCAAACGCTGGGTGCGTGCGAATTTCTGATGTTTTTCGGTAAAGCTACTGAGTGTTTTTTTTCTTCCAAATAATTTTTATTCGCAGCTTGCCCGCCTTTGAGGACGATCCCGCAAGTGGTGATGATTCACGGAGAGAGCAACGTTTCACAATTGCAGGTTCACGCTGTTCTATCTATTGTCTTTAGTCTAATGCCTTTTTTTCTTGTAGTCTGTGATGCTACTTGTCTATCCAACTGGTGTCCGGGTTGTTGTGCACACTGCAAATCTCATCAATATCGATTGGAATAACAAGAATCAAGGCCTGTGGATGCAAGATTTTCCTTTCAAAAGTATGACTGGTGCATCAGACTTTGAAAACGATCTGGTGGACTATTTGACGGCTCTTGAGGTACACCAAGTCTGTTTGCGAGCAAGATCAGTTTTTTACAGTGGTTGGGATGTACTGTAGATGTCCAACACCATGGAAAGATGAAGATCAACGTAGGCCACTTCCAAAACTTTGATTTCAGCAATGCTGCGGTATGTATTGATTTTGCACTTTCAAATGAATGAAACTGATGTGCCGAGCTCTACCAGGTACGGCTGGTAGCATCTTACCTGGCTATCTCAGCTGAATAAGTGGGGTCACATGAAGCTCCATTTCACGGGCTTTGGTGTAAAGAGGGTTTGGCGAAGTGTCTACCAAGATCCACACGACCAGAGGTGATGTGCTTCTGATATATATTTATAATATAAATAAATATATTTATTTAATATATATTTATTTTATATTTATATTTTAATATATTTAATATATTTTTTAAAATATATTTCCTTTCGGCTACTGGCTTGTTTTTGGCTTTCTTAATCAGTTAATCAGGAGGTGAGTAATGGGTTTAGGGCTTGATGTATTACATTCAAGCCAAGGAGGATGAAAAAATATATTTTATCTCCTCAAATAAAATAATTGTGGATAAAATGTAATTTTTGATTAACCTAGTATATAAGTTAGTGTTGTTGGGAATTGAAAATTTTTCATCTTAATAGGACAAGATGATAAAAAAAGTTGGATAGGCTAGAAAGGTATATGTTTTTTTGTTGTTTTTTCTTTTGTTTTTTATATTTTTTTTTTAGCTTAAAACCTTTTACTGATTCTCAATATTTAATCTATTGTATTGAGACTATGATCAATTGCATGGACAAAAAGCTTAAAATCTCCTATAGCAATTGGTTAATTTTTATATAAAAATCTACATTTTGTTAGTACTCACATGTTTTTATATTAAAAAATACCACTGAGGAAAAAAATACTGTATTACTTTTAAGCCTATATAAAAACCTGAAGAGTAACAAAAATAATCTCTCTCAAAGACTATATAATTATACAATATATATCTCAATTTGCTCAAATTTAATATTGCCTAATAGAATGCTGAGAGGAAGCGCAAGTTCGAACCCTTTCTCAAGTTGGTTGAGACAGGTTTATTTAAAAGTTAAGTAAGCCAATGTTCTCATTTTGATTCTTTTTCTTTTTTTTTTTTTTTTATTTTCAAATAAGCATTGATCAACTTAGAGTTGAACCATTTGCATTACCTCATCTAAAGTCAAAAAGATATACTAAATTGCATCACATCTTAAGTGAGCTTGATTTGAGTATATTTTTTATTTTTTTTGTGTTTCAAAGTTTTAAATTGATTATTTCTGCAATTGATAAGCAAACGAGAGCAAACATCATAAAGAGCTTCATTGAAAGAGGTGGAGTAAACAATAATGCTTTTCTGAAGGCATTTTTTAGTCTGATCAATTTTGACATGCATATCATGTTGGAAAACTTGATTTTGTAAGTTGTGGCATTTTTATTTTTATTTTTTATTTTCTTCAGGTCACCTAAGATTTTTCCTTCTTTACCAATGTTACTATTCGGGTGAAAAATCAATTTCAAGCAAAGACAAAGTTACTCATTTCAGGCCCAATACCTTGGCTCGGTGATGAATATCTTCACAAAAACAAAGCAAAAGAGATGACTCAGGAGAATGGGGAGTGGTGTTTGAGATGAATATGCCGTTCTCAAAGGAAGGCAAGCATACGCATGTCAGATTGTGCAAGTTTGTCTGTTTCATTTGTTTGTTTCTTTATCAGTTTTTTATTTCGTTGCTGCAGTACGACGGCATAAAAAATACACATGAATGGAGAAAGTGCTTATTGAGTTAAAGGCCTGGTATGTGTCTTTTGATTTTCCTTTTGACAGGAAATAAATCAAGGGTCATTATCCTTGTGTTTTCATGAATAAAATGCATATAAACTAAAACAAGAGGCCATATATTTATTCGCGAGCTATTCGCGCAACAATGGGGGAGTCCCCCTAGCCCAAGGGTTTGAAGCGGCCTCCCGTTAAACACCATCCCGTTTCAGTCTCTCTCCACCTAACTGGCAATGATGTGGCACGATTACATGGCATTTCTCTCTTTCCACTCCCGTCCCACTCTCTCTCTCTGGTGCTGCCACACAACATTACTTCCAGTCACTTTAACTTGGACCAAAGGCTCTTTCACAGAACAGAAAGTATCTCTCCTTTTGCTTTGCTCCTCTAGATTGCCAGACTTTGGGAGGGGGTTTTAGGTTCTTCTCTGGAATGGAAATGCTGGTCGACCCAAGCAGCAGCAGCAGCTAGATTGAAAGCGCTCCTTTTTTTTGCTCTCAAGGGGCAGCAACAATGATCATATGGAGGTTTCTATGAATTTGTGGAGCTTAGTGGTACTATTAGCTCTGGCTTTATGGAATATGGGCATGCTCTTCATCTTTGCACAGTGGAGATTGTAAGTATTGCTATAGTGTCTTCTCCTCTTGGATCATCCTTAGTCTTATTTTTCCAACGGATGCCTTGCAAGCTTTCAAGCACGCTCTTGGGGATCCATTGGAACGTCGCAGGTGGATGGGCGATGATCCTTGGTCAGCTTTATCATCAGTGCCGGTCAAAAGCGGAGAAAGACCACAGTCGTCGGGCGGATAGATGCAGACGGGAGTGGAAAGAAAAAATATATGTATTATCGCTAATTTATATGATTTATCCAATGGGTAAGTGGCCCTAGCGAAGAACAGGGATGTCTCTCGTCGATCAGGATGAGTTCCCAAGCTCAAGAAAAAGTTCAAGTAAGCAGTTTTTCTGATTCGGGCTTTGCTAACGCTTCTTTGTAACAGGAATTTCCAAACCAACTTGATAACTGGTGCAATCCCAGATGAGATTGGTCTACTCTGCCAACATGGAACATTTGTAAGTTTTTGCAGCAGTTTCTATGTTTCCTTATTCTGTTTTTGACCTTTGCTATGTAGAACTGTCGCATCGAATAGATTTTCTGGGCCTATTCCAGGAACCATGGGAAATCTTACTCGACTGTTGACACTGTAAGTCAAATATAAGATATAGCATGTTGGATTCCAATAAAAAGCTTTGCTTCTTTTTCAGGAGTCTTGCTGTCAACAATTTTTCAGGATCTCTTCCGCAGGAAATTGGTAACCTGTCTTCACTGACCGAGCTGTTAGTTCTTGATGTTGGGCGAGACCAGAATGTGGTTCTTATGCCTTCCGGTGACGATTTAGATATGTCTTTTACATTTGTCTTAGAAACTTTCTTCTTCTTTTTTGGTTTTGAGCTATGGTGAAACTTGCAGTTATGCAGGTAACATGGAGAAAGCGCACTGAGAAATCATTTGCAAGAACCGCAGCAGTGGCGGAGCCGCCCGAGCTGACGAAGAAGAGGCTCTCGCGAGACGAGCGTGTGGCACTAGTCAAGTCATTCGTGGAGAAGTAAGCATTCATTTTCATGTTGGCCACCAAGTTGATTAGAACTGAAGGTGTTTGGACTCTACTGGTCTAGGCGGGGAGCTCCCACCAGCCTTAAGCAGTTTGCGAGGGCTCCAGACACTGTAAGCTTCTTAAGTCGGTGTGATTTATACTCATTTGCTTGGCACCAGAAATATGTTTGACAGCAACTTCAATGGCTCGATACTAGACTTCCTTGCCAATATGTCTAGTTTTGAAATTTTGTAAGTGCAATAAATTCATTCTATAAATTTATGTGAATGCGGCCTCCTTTGACAGAGCCATGTATGGGAATAAACTTTCTGGTCTGCTTGCTGCATCTCTTGCCAATCTTACAAACCTGAGAGAATTGTAAGTCTGCGAAAAACTTCCTGATTTTCTAAATAACTACTTGTTACATAGAGAACGGGAGAAGTATCAGCCGGAGGCTCAATACCGCCTAGCTACAATCTCTAACAAAGCTGCGAGTCGCCAGCCGTTTCTTTTAGCAGTTAGCATTTACTTTGGCTGTTTTACCAGGACCTTAAGGAACTGTCAGCTATCTGGTTTTATACCTGACCTGGGCAATCTTACCCAGCTCACACACTTGTAAGCTTGCAGGAAGGTCTACAATTTAGAAGATGTATTTAACGTTGTTATTGCAGGCATTTGAGTTTCAACAATCTGACTGGGACAATTCCAGCGTACATATCATCTTTTGATCGTCTTAGCAGACTGTAAGTTCTTCATCTCTTAATTTGCGTCTAAAGGAAGTCCGAGCATTTTCAGTTTCCTAATCTTACTGGAGGCCTCCCAAACCAGCTCTCGAGAATCGTCGACTTGTACGTAGACTTCAAAATCGTTTTCCTCTTCTAACCAAGTACATCTTTGCATATATACAGAGATGTATCGTTCAAAAGGCTGACTGGACCTGAGCGAATATGCATTTTTTCTCTATGTGACATGCTAATTTCTCTGAACTTGCATAGGAATGCTACCATTATTGGCAATCCGTTCTCAGTTAATAGAACTCAAGGGTATGGTTCTCTTCGTGTTCAACACCATGTTTTCATTGCAGACAAAATGCGAATACTGCTACGTGTTTACATGATATATCAAACTGCGGCAGTGTGAACCAAGGAAATAGTTGAGTGATATTTGCTGCATAAAGTCTTCACTTGATATCGACATATTTCCTACTCAGGTGTTATCAACTGTGGTGGACCTCAGATCACTTTGGATGGGACAGATTTTAACATAGACATGCCAAGTTCTTTGGATGGGGACTACTATTCCACAGGAGGATGGGTATCTAGCAGCTCTGGTTTTGCGGAATCCTTTCAAGATAACCGTCCTCTGATATCCGCAATCCAAGTTCTACCTGGTAAGTGTTAGATACTGCTGCCACTACGAAAGTTTGTCTTCGTTCTAACATTGCGTTTCAGAATTTGAAACTGGTGGCACAAGTCAGAGTGAAAACAGTTCCAAAGGTGTAAAAATAGGTGTTGGAGTCTCGGTGCCACTCGTGGTGCTCTTTGTGGTTTCCGGTTATCTGTTGTGGAGGAAACGACACAGAGAAGGACGATGAAGGTCACTTAATTCTTTTGCGAATTACTTTTACTAATGTTCTGTGCCATGCAGGCTCAAACTTCTAGACGGAAAGCTGCATATGTTTTCTTACAATGAAATAAAAAACGCTACGGGAGGATTTGACCCCGCGAGATTGTTTGGGAAAGGAGCATTTGGCAAGGTCTACAAGGTAAAGTTTTCTTTCTGGTATAAAGCGTTTGGACTTTCAGGGAGTATTATCTGATGTTACGGTGGTAGCGATCAAGCAGCTTAATAGGGTGAACGACAACACTGGAGATGTTGTGAACGAGGCCACACTTATCTCCACGGTGCAATCGCAATCTAGTCAAGCTTTATGGATGCTGCACCGAAGGAAACAATTGGGTTCTTGTTTTTGAGTTTATGGAAAACAACAATCTGCATCATGCGCTCTTGAGTAAGTTGATCTAATACTGCTCTGAGAACTCATAGTTTAGGTCCCGTGGGGCGAAAGCTACACCTCAGTTGGCCAATTCGCTTCAATAGATGCATTGGAGTCGCAAAAGGGCTCGCTTATTTGCACGAAGAGTCATCACCGCGTATCAGACATCGAGACATCAAAGCTACCAATGTACTTTTGGATCAAGCTCTGGTGGCAAAGATAGCGGACTTTGGTTTGGCAAGGCTCTTCGAAGATCATCAGTACGAGGGTGGCAGGAACAATGTGAGAGCTCAAAGTTCTTGTAATTGCTTGATCTGATCATCTCTGATTTTTCTTTCTTCTTTCAGGGGATACCTGACAGCTTTGGAGTTCTGGTACTAGAAATCGTGAGCGGAAGAACCAATCTGGACACCACGAGTGAAGACATGACCCATCTTCTCGATCACGTACGTATAAAAATTTACGAAATGTTTGCTCTTTAACTCGCGTCAATGATCAGGTATGGGAGCTGTACCAAGGCCATAGGCTCAACTCCTGGACAAAGAGCCGACAATGCCGATGACGAACAAGTTATAAGCACCCAAGCGACAGCATCACAGCGTCCAGCAATGTCCAAAGTTGTGGCGATGCTCACTGGCAGCGAGGAGGTGAGGGTGAGCTCCTTGCTCCCGGGATACTTCGGCGTCATCCCCGGATGCGAGAGTTGCTAAGCAAGGACCGAGAGAGCCGATCGAGCAAAGACCCCAGCAGCAGTGCCAGCAGCAGCATGATCGGGACTGACTCGCCATGGCAAGGGTCTTCGTCGGCAAACAACAGTATACTTCCCTCGAGTTTTGAGCTTCCAGAAGAGCAAGCCATAGAGATGCCAGGAATATGCCCAATCCCGCATCCCTCCTCCGTGGATGCCGCCACATTGGCGAGGTCTCGCTCATCCACGCCCACGTCTTCAGCAATGGCTGGATCCGCAAGACCTTCGTCCAGATGTATGGCGCCCTTGGCGGCGCTGGCACAAGAATCTCTTTTCTTGGAACATCACCCTGGGCCACGAGGGGCTGAAAGATGCCCGGGACCTCTTTCGGAAGATGCCCAGCCGCGATACAGTGTCGTGGAATCTCATGTTTGCAGCATATGCCCGGTCAGGGCATCTTGTTGTGGCCAGAACTCTCTTTGATTCCATGCCCAGGAAGAGCCTCGTGTCCTGGAACAAGCGTACGCCGAAAGAGGGAATTTGCGGCGGGCCAGAGATGTCTTTGACAGAATGCCGCTCACGGATCTCATCTCCTGGACGATGATCGTCACGGGTCACGTCGCGCGGGGCAAGATCGAGGAGGGATCCAGGCGATGCCGGAGAAGAGCGCTGTGGCTTGGAACGCGATGATCCTGGCGAGCTGTCAGGAAGGGGATGTGGATACCGCAGCGTCGCTTTTCACGGCCATGACGCCTGGGCGGAATTGTAGCTCCTGGACGTCGATGATCTCTGGCTATGCCACGGGGCGGTAGTGGCGGTATTTTGGCGAATGCCGACGTGGAGCTTGATTTCCTGGAACGCCATGGCCATTGCCCTGGCCGAGAGCGGCGATCTCTCCTCGGCCAAGAATCTCTTGGATCGCATCCCAGAGAAGAACTGCGTCTCCTGGAACGCGATGATCCAGGCCTACACCGCGTAGAGGTCTTCGATCGAATGCCGCAGCCCGACGTGATCTCCTTCACCACGATTGCCGTGGCGATCGCGCAGGGCGGGGATCTGGATCGCGCCAGGGCGCTGTTGGATGCCATGCCAGAGCGAAAACTTGTTTCCTGGAACGCGATGATGGGCGGCTACGCCCAGAGTGGAGTTGGCGACCACGAAGTTGCCGTACACCAGTCTCAACATCTGTCCTCGTAGAGGTCTGTGAATATTCGTTAGGGTTTACTGGAACCGAAACCGTATGGTCCGCAAAAAACTTCATGGAATCCTGGGCAGCATGGAGATGCTTGCAAACAAGAGTATGGAGTTCCTGTATGGCGTGAAGATGCTCTTGTAGATCAGAATCTTGAACGATCAGTGGAGAAAATAGACCAAACAATGTCCTGAGGAATCCCGTGAAAACGAACAATCCCCTCCCAGAAAACTTCAACAACTATCTACTGCTCGCCAGTACTTTTCACGGAGAGAATCGAACAGAAATCCGACTCACCAGACTCCAGCGTGACAGTTTCAGAGATAATTATCTCGCTGGGAATCTCAAGGACGAGATCTCCAGCTTTTAAATCGCACGCTGCAGCCCCTCCTCTACCATATCCTTCAAAATCTGTTTTGTCACAAAGCTTTTAAGATCGTCACAGAAAGAACTACCAAGACTCACCAGCTATGTCAATGTTGCCTACATTGCTTTCATCAGTGCCAAATTCATCCAGCCTTTTCAAAACAATTTTCTCGAGCTCGGAATAAGTGCTGGAAACCAGCAAAGATCGAACGACGCCATTTCGTTTCGAGCACTGATCATGCCTCTTTCATCGCCTTCCAGAAAATAACATTCTGTCTGAGAGCAAAGAAGAAAAACAAAAGAAAACAGCAAGTCTTCGATAGAGCAATGACGAACTCTTACCTCGTTGAGCTCTAGAATCCGTGCTGCCTCTAATACTTCCTCCAGCCACTGGCATTTCTCTTTGCTGGGCTTTGGAAATCGCAGCTTGAGGCCTCGATCCTCCAAAATCCTCTGCATTTCATCCAAACTTCATCCTCTACACACTCGCGCCCCGATCAATCAGAGATTCTCTTTCGCTCGCGCCAGTGGATCCGCTGCCCCTGGCGCGGCCAACCCCACCTCCATGCCAATAAACCCTAACGAATATTCTCTTAAATTTTAAGAATTAAATAGCTGCCACATATACCAATCTTTTTGTGCCGCGTGTGCTTTTCCCGCGTAACGGTGAGCTAAACAGAAAATAGGGCAGGCTATGGCGAGCGAGGCCGCGATGGCGCTGGCGATGCTGCTAGGCTGCTGGTGAGTGATTCTTGCCAGATCGTCTGGGAGTACTGATCTTCGCCGAGCGCCTCAAGATGAGAGGGGGCAGATTTCTCAACTCTCTGCGGCAGCTAGCCAGGCAGCCAGTGAGCAACACGCCTTTGATCCGCAACGCATTCGAGCTGGGGCACTGCGTTTCCAAGCCGATCAAGCAGGGGTGTATGTCGCCGCCGTCCAAGGAGAAGCAGTACTTTTTGATCGGGCTCTCGTCGTCGATGAAGCAGCAGCACGCCGCTGCAATGAAGAACTTGCTGACTTCCACACACATCAAGAACAGCAGCTCTGCCGCTGCTATGGTGCAAGAACCTCTGGAAGATAAAATGGAAGCTCCTCCTCCGGTGGAGGACAATGTGGTTCCTCCTGCACTGGAAACATCTTCTCCGGCAGAGCAAGTTTGTGATGCTGGGATTTCTCCCGGTTACTGGGGCGTGCGTTTCGGCAAGCCGAACGATGTTGGGTCGAACATTTGGAATTCCTTCCGGGTAAGTTCGCATGTTTTTTGAGTCCGATCATTGATGGTTCTAACTTGGAGAGCTTTTCAGCCATCGGAGAACCGGATAATTGAAGCTGAGGGGAGTATCGACGTAAACAAGCACAGGAACCCAGAGAATTTCTCCGACCAGTTTGCGAGGCTGGCCGTGATGGCTCTAAGATTTCCCACCGACTTGCTCTTTCGGGTGATGCTGCACAACCATTTCTAAAGTTTCATATAAGTTTGACATCTAAAGCAGTAACGTGAGTTTTGGCTTTCTCGTTTTTCTTCTTTACGTTTCTCACGCTCGCTTTTGCTCTCTCTCGTTATTGCAGCAACGTTACATATGTCGAGCCGCAATGCTAGAAACCATCTCTGGTGTTCCCGGAATGGTTGGCGGGATGGTTTTGCATTGTAAGTCTCTGAGGCGAGTAGAGCACAGTGGAGGGTGGATCAAGGCTCTTATGGAAGAAGCAGAAAACGAACGAATGCACCTGATGACGTTCATGGAGCTGTCCAAACCATCGTGGCAGGAACGGGCCCTGGTTTTTACTGCTCAAGGGATGTTTATGAACGCGTACTTCCTGCTTTACGTCGTTTCTCCTCGGTTTGCTCATCGGATGGCGGGGTACATCAGAGAGGAGACAATCCAGTCGTATACACAACTCATCAATGACATAGACGACGGAAAGGTCCCAAACGCTCCTGCGCCGGACCTTGCTATCGACTACTGGAGGTTGCCAATGGATGCGACACTACGGGACGTTGTCATGGTCATTCGGGCAGATGAAATACACCATCGCGAAATAAATCACTTCGCTGCTGTAAGTCTCAGTCGTCTACAATCTTAACATGAGTTTTGTTTTCGGTGTTCTACTTTCAGGATGTTTATATGCAAGGGCATACTCTCAAAGAGGCTCCTGCAGATATGGTCACCATGACAACTAGCTTTGGTGAGTTTTTAACAAATCATTCTGTCTTAATAAGTGTCCCTTTCACAGCGAGGAGTCACGCGTCGACTACGTAGAGATCATTCAGCCGCTCAACAATGATTCGCTCATGTTATTTTGTGTTTCCAGAAATATAGATGACCTTCCACAGACAAACATCCTTTTAAAAATTGATGTTTGTTCCGCTTTTCAGACAATCTCTTACCAACTCGTCCGACACGCTTTTTCTAAGTTTTTCGGGGAGGTACGTTTCATAGCTGGAAGCCGATTTGATACCAATGGAGATGTTGATGTCTTTGTCTATGTGGCTCTGACTCTTTTATTACAGGTTGGTCCTCCGAGCAGTATCCGACACACTCAATAGTGCTTCAGGACACGAGCTTTAAAACAATCAGGTAAACACAAACCAATTTTTCTTGTCTAAAATCTTGGTAGATCGGCTGGATCGGCTGGAAGCTCTGGCTCTTTTATGACAGGTAGGTCCTCCGAGCAGTATCCGACATTTTCAATGGGACTTCAGCTTATGCACGAGCTCTAAAACAATTAAGGTAAACACAAACGAATTTTTCTTGTCTAACATTGTGGTAGATCGGGAGGAGGTGGTGGAAGCGTCTGGTTACCGGGTCCATTCTGGACGATGAAAGTGGTTGCTAGTCCCCATGACGTGTGGATTTCCAGATGGCAATGCATATACCAGACTCCTGCAAAAGCAGAAACGACAGGATGAATTTAGCAGGATTGAACAGGCTACCTGGATTATCGGCCCAGAATCTTATAGCAGCCCAGCCACCAACGGGTACAGCAACTGTGTTTCTTCGAGGAGGGTCCACGAGATTGAAAGCTGCCGCTGCGGAGTTATTGAAGTTTCCAAATCCTTGGCCAACAATGTAGAAGCTAAATCCATGGAGATGGATCGGGTGGTTCTCAACCCCGAGTATACTGGTGTCCTGGAGCACCATCTGGACGCTGGCATTGAAAGGGATGACAGCAGCTCTGGTTCCTCGGAGCGGGGTGATATTACTTGGAGGATTTCCGGTGTAGTCGAACACGTTCAGAGGCTGGGCTGGGAAGTCCGGGGAGAAGACGTTGGAAATGTTGAAGAAATAGGCCTGGAGCACGGAGACAGATGGAAGAACAAACGATATGTTACTCACGGAAGCCGTGAACTTGCTTCCATTCGGTCCCTGGCAGCCAAAGTTGGCGTCGCACGGTTTCGCCCCGAGTCCGACCGTGAGGAAGAAGTTGGAAGTTATCGTCTGTGGAACGGGCTCCGGGTGCTGAGCGTTGGCAAGGCTTCGCAGGCTGGTGGAAAACGTTGTCACGAACGCAGTGTCGTTACTTTGTGGGAAGTTTGGCATCACCGGTGTAGAGGAAGCATTGGAGCCAGCGTACTCGAGGATTGCCAGTGTGGGAGTCATGCGAAAAGGAACGTTCATCGCCGACATGTAGGGACTGGCACCCATGTAGTAGCGTCCAACAGGCTGATCAGTGGTGAGAAGAACGTTCGTCGTCTGGCCAGGAGTTATCATGATGGAAGTGGTACTATAAGGCTTGGTGTAGTCTCCATCCGTCTCCACCACCGTGATGTTATGGTTAGCGACCGAGAAGAAGAGCTCGATATTGAGTGCTGCGTTGATGATCCGAAGAAGGTAGACTTTGTTTGGTTGGACCCGGAGCTTGTACACGTCTGTAGCAGCAGCAATAGCAGCACGCAGAGAATCTCAGCGGAAAGGAAGAGAAGAGCTTTAAAGTGGCTGGAAAAGAAAGCTAGAGTACGAGTTCTGGCGTTTAAGGGGAGCAGCAGCAAGTGGAACTCACCATTAGCGGAACAGTTGTAGAGAGGGCCGGGCAATCCATTGATGGTGTAAGCATCCGAAAGAGCAGGGCCTCCGCCGGTTAGCAGCGCTTGGTTCTCGACGTCCTCGACATTAGCATTCCACCATTCGCCTGCGAGAAAGAAATCGGAAAGTCAGTCAGTTCCAGGAACAATGCTGCTTCTTCGTTGTACCCAGAATTATGATGTGCTCTTCCTTGGGGAAGACAAAGGGATAAGGCTCTCCAGAAGTTGGAAAGACGACCATGGCTCCGTGGACAGTCGCTCGCAGCCAAGTCTCGTGAGCATGATAGAAGAGAGTTCCGCTCTGCCTGACAATGGTGTAGTTGTAGAGGTATGATCCCCCAGGTTGGATCGGGCACTGGGTGACATAGGCAGGTCCATCGGCCCAGCAGGAGAAGAGCTGCCGGATCCCGTGCCTGTGAGAAATCCAGCGACTTAAGTTCACGACGAGAGAAAAGGATCTCTACGCGGGGAAGAAGCTCACCAGTGCATCGTGATGTTATACGGTCCATTGTTGGTAACATTGATGAGAAGACGGTCACCTTGGTTTGCAAAGATGACCGGACCGGGGTACCTTCCGTTCACAGCGACAAGAGACTTCGAGTTGCAAAGTCGCCTCACGTTTGTCGACCGGATCTGAGCAGCAGCAGCAGCAGCAAGACAGTGTCACTACTGCTGGAGCAACAAACAAAAGCAGGCAAGCAAAGAGGTATTCCCTTTCGCTAAAGAACAAGCTCCCTTACAGTGAAGTTGTAGACACGAGTTGTGGAAGTAGTAGAGTCGGCGGCGCTTGAAACACCGGCTGCAACGAGCAAGCCAATTGCTACGACGAGAATGCGGGTGTGGATCTGCATTGCCTCCTCCCTGCTGCTGCTACCAGAGACGAGACAAACTATGGAGACAATGGGGACGATCAAACTTTATGCGCCCTCCGTCGTGCACGGCACTTCCGGCTATGAAGTTCAATTTATGTGCATACAGGGCCTCTTGACTAGAGTGACAGTCCTGGTCCCAGTAACTCCAGCGGATTTTACATCTAGTTCCTCCTAAGGTGAGGCGTGATTCTTCCCGCAGCAAACTTTTTATGTCTAACTTTTCCTTTCATCTTAGGTGGTGGTTCTTCTGTCAACGTTGTGGAGGCTTTCGCTACCTGCTGTGGCACGTTCCGGAGCGTTATGTCAATTGCTAGATCGGTGCGTATACACTTCCGTGGCAGCAGCGCCCATTGCGAATCTGGAGCAGCGAGAGAGCACACTGGAAAGACAACAAAGGTTTATTTTTTTCCCTTCGAATTTTACCAGGCAGTGTCACTCACGGGGCCTTGACTCTTCGCGTTTGTTAGTTGAGTGGCGTGGTCCTGTCTTCTATCGACGAGGAAGAACACTGAAGAACAAAAAAGAAAAGTAGAAAAATACAAGCCAAAGAAAATATGGCGCATGCAGGTTTTGAACCTGCGACCTAGCTCGAAACCGTTAATTAAACATGTTTAATCGTAAACAATTTTAAAAATGTGGCTCATGCGGGTTTCGAACCTGCGACCTTGGCGTTCATTTAGAATATTGTGCTTAAAACCTTGAACCTTTAACGTTAAAACAAAGTCAAAACATGTGGCCCATGCAGGTTTCGAACCTGCGACCTTGGCGTTATTAGCACCACGCTCTGACCAGCTGAGCTAACAGGCCTTACACGCAGACTTCTGTTTAACATTAACTAAACCAAATTTTCTGTAATAAGGTTTTGAAATGAACGAAGAAAGTGTAGGTCAGAAATGTGGCTCATACAGGTTGCGAACCTACGACCTTGGCGTTATTAGCAAGGCCTTACATGCAAACTTCTGTTTTAACATTAACTAAACCAAAGTTTCTGTAATTTATGTAAACAATATTTTTTAACTCAATGGTTTATAATTGTTATAAATTTAGTTACTTCCTCTTCCTCTAATATAATGTGTGTGATCGCTATTTTAGACCTGTAGCAAAAGAATGTGCATCACCAAGGAGTGCGCGGATCCAACCATGGCTGGAATTTACTGGAGGGAGGATGACTGCTGGGTGAGATACCGCCCAAGCATCGAGCATGTCATTCTGGTGCTCGCATGAAGCGATAGGACTGCGAGAAAGTATTGAGTAATTTGCATGGCTTTGCTGAATCCCAGGCCTCCAAGTATGCATCAAGAATTTCCCTTGGAAGAATCACTTCGAAAAAGTATCCCAGTGGAAGGAGATACGAGATTGATCTGGATCACATGGAGCAAGTCAATCTGCGAAGTGGCTATCGCCGGAAGATCAAGATAATTGGAAGCGATGCGATTGTATACTTCGAATTCTCTTACTTCCTGATCTTCTTTTTTCTTTCCAGACTTCCAAGGACCAAGCGATCGGGCATGCAGTCGAGGAGCTCCTCCAGCTCATGAACAAGGAGAGTTTCCTCAAGAAGGTGATCATGGACAAGCACCCCAAGATCAAAAACGTTCGATCCAACAAGTTCCTTGCCAACAAGCCGGAAATCTACTGCAAGTTCGTCCGAGCACTCATTAAAGAGGCTGCCACGACCAACAAAGAACTTATCAGTAAGGCTCTATACAAATCTAGCCATACAAGCAATTCTTCTTAACAACCATGTCACAGTGGAGATGTTCTGTGCTCTCAGGCAGGCCGATACTTCGGAGCTAAAGTCTCTCGAATACGTCTTTCACGGAACTCCATCCAGAAACTTACAATCCATCGAGAAAAACGGACTGGACGCGACGCTCTGCGGCTCCACCCAGAAGTTTTGGGTCGGAAAAACTCCCGAATTGAGCGTCGAGTACTGCAGAGAAGTAGCTTCTTCTCACGCGACCATGGTGCTGTTCCTGGAACTGCGAGGACAAGGGGAGAGTGCCTGGGATCTTAACAGACGGAGTGTTCCCAACACCAAGTCAGGCGTTTTACTGCCAGTGGGGGAGGTTGATGTGCCAGTTCCCTGGTGGTTAGCATCCACAGCCTCATCACTAAAACCATCCAGCAATTACTCACGGTCGGAAAATTCCAACAGATACTCATACAGCAGCAGCGACGATGATTGTTAAGTCTTGCTTTCAAATATCATGCAAGGATGATCACGTATACATACCAGTTATTTTATCTCTCAGCGAATTAAAGGTTTCAATGATCCACTGGGGGTTTGAAGCTTTCGACTGGAAGTTTGTGATGTATGCTCCCATGTTCTAAAATCATAAGGATTGTGTGAGCTAGTTAGAGTTAGATTATAATTTTTGCAAGCAGAAGATAAACTCATCTGTGTCAAAAGATTTCAATAATTGAATTAAATAAATTCGAACCAAATCATATATTTTCATCTAGAAACTATGGGATAAATAGTGTCATTTAAGATTTTTTCTTGATTTTATAATTGATAACTTTTACTAATTTTAAATTAAAATATTTTAAAAGTATATGTAATATATTTTAAACTCCTATAATTTAATAAGGTTAAAATTCAATAGAAGATTAAAATTAAGAGGAATAATCAAATTAAATGGAATTGTGATTACATTTACTCAAGAAATTAAGCTTCAAATGATGAATTTAGAGTAAAGGTATTTAGAAATTTAAAATTTTGGAAAAAAATTTAGATTCCCAAAATTTATATGATATTTTAAATTGCATATGAGAAAAGAGTATTTTATTAATTTAATATTATTTAATATACACACACAATATTATTATTGAAAACTATGTATTCCATAATATAAAATAGAAGATTTGAAGAGCTGTATGTATTTTGTTTTGTAAATTACATTTAATTTTATTAATAATCTTTTGTTACTTATTAATACAGTCATCTTTGAATTTAATTATGTTTAATTGTTGGTTGACTCAGATTTAATTTAAAGTTTTTATAATATTATATTTTTTTAACACTTTTTTTACATTAATAATTTATGTATTGATACATGAAAAACATAATAAGCAATAATAATGATTGAGATAACTTTAGCACAATAGCCACACAATAAAGTAAACTATAATCTAAAGAAATATGATTCATCATCAATTTATTGTTTAGTATTATTAAATTTATTTATATATTATATTTAAATTTTCTGATATATTATAGTTTTTGCATAAAAGAAAAGATTATTTAACATTGAGACCCTAATATTGAAGTAAAACCTTATCTTTCATCTCTTATTAAAATTTAAGATCTTAATGTCATTGGTATAAAGACTTAAATTCAAATAAAAATAAATTATAAATAGAGAGATGATTAATCATATTTTTTATTAGCATTCTTTCAATAAAAACATATTCAGAAATAATGTTCATGAAACATAATAGAATAAGTTAATTTTAAACACTACTCAGAAAATGCATGAATATAAATATTAGAAAATAAAATAATTACACTATCAACACATAAAAGTAACAGTTTTTACTAAGTATCCATGCTATTAAAAAACTCACTCTAATAGGATGAGAAACTAAATATATGTGTAATCTAATGGTTCACGTTCACCATATAATTATATCTCAAAGCTTGCTTTTAAAAAATGAATCCAATATTATGTTTAAAACTAATGTTTCATCTTTGATCCATAACATTTTATTGCTAGGAATTATTGAGAATTTTTTCAACATATATTCTCTCTAATTTCAGTGAAGTTGTTCATGAATATAATAAAAATTGTATCTTAAATAATTTATTATTCTTGGTGAATATACTCTTCTATAAATACAAAGAGATGGTGAACGAGCTGGGATCCTGGCTTTGCTGAGCGAGATCTACTAACTATGACAAGAATCAAATTTAACATATATCAGAAATTTGTTGATAACTTGTACTTTGTGTGGTTTTTGTTTGCAAAATTTAGGTTTGAGGAATTCTGTTCCATTACGCACTCATACAACCACGTCGACGATTTTAAGTCTTGCTCTCAACCATCAAACAAGAGAAAACGAAGGAAGATCACGTCCTTGTTGCTTGTTCATCTGAAAATGTATGAAAGAAAACGACTAAAAGCTCAAATCTTTCTTAACGAGTGCGTTTACCAGTACTTGGCGATGAAGGCCCTGGAAAATCTGCGGGCAATCCTCTCGGCCTTTCTTCTTCCGATCACCTGGAAATGAACAAGACGAGCGTTTGTACTAGATTTTAAGTGGCTTCTCACCTCGCAAAGTTTTTCTTTACTTAGGCCTCGCACAGCCTCCTCGGAGAGCTTGCCGGTGTTCTTCTCCCAAAAATCCTGTTAGCAAGTCCAAGGATGAAAGAGGAGCTCTTACCTTATGCAGAGCTTCCGCTATGATCTCACCAAAGGTTTCAATGACTGAAGTATCCACTGGAGCCACTGGGGGCTTGAAGCTTTCGACTGGAAGTTTGTGATCCTTGCTCCCCCGAGCTCGAATCCTCAAAACGCGCTTCTTCGCCAACACAATTCCTAGAAGTATGAGCCCCCATGTACAGACATACGGCAGCAATACAGTCTCATCTTCGCGTACAACGATCGTTTCCACCTGGAAACAGAAAAAAAACAAAAAGAATAGATCTCCCGGTTAAGTTTCGGTCTAGTGAAACTCATACCTCTTTTCCTGGAGAGATTTCTTCTACCTGGAAAGCCCGGTAGTAAGTTCAGTGATCCTCTCGAAAAGCTAAGCTCGAGTACCTTTGTCTCCTTAAAAAATAATTCTTCCACCTGGAGCAAAAGAAAACGTAAGTTGCGCATTGATCCTGAGAAACAGGGCTCCATACCTCGTCTACAAGGAAGAATTCATCCACCTGAATATAAGAAACTCTGGATTGTGACACTCACGATTAAGATAGATACACGCACCTCTACGTCTTGGTTTGCCACTCCTCCAAGCACAATCTCGGCAATAATCTCCTCCTCCTGGAATGCAATCCAAGAGTAAACTTCCAAAGGAGAAGAGAGATACCTCTAGGCGATGATCATCGCCCACGAAAGCCGCTGGAATCTTTTCTTGCGTGAGACCATTCCGATCAGCTTGACAGATCGTTGAGGAGAAGAGAAGAACGACCCAAAGCAAAACCATCCCTTCCTGGAGCCCTCACATTCTTTTGCTGTTAAAAGGTTTCGAGCCAGCGACCTTTACAAGAAAAAACAATGGCCTACGCAGGTTTCGAACCTGCGACCTCGGCGTTATTAGCACCACGCTCTGACCAACTGAGCTAATAGGCCTTATCAATGATTAATTCTATATAATCAATTTAACTATAAAACCATATACGCACGAGCCCTAGTCATTTGAATCAAGGGTTTTTGGGCGGGCATTTCCAATGGGTCCTCCACCTCCCGATCCTGGCCGGCAGCAACGGCAAGAAGAGGGCAACGATAGCGAGGGAGACAATGGCGAGCCAGCGGCGCCGCCTGAGCCGGTGGTGCCAGTGCGCAATGAGGATCTCCAGATGATCGCCAGGCTCTTTCCATCTCCCGTTCTCGGTCCTGTCGCTCCTCCGCCTAGTCCCGCTACTCCGCATGCCGCATTTACCAGGTCTAACAGCGATTCTAGGTTGATTGCTTCGAGTCCCAGAGATTCCGCCATAGCCGAGGTTCCAACGTTCCGCAGGTCTGATCCCAGGAGCACTTCCAGCGACGCAGTTCGCTATCGCGGGAAGGATCCGAGCAGCTCCGGCGCCGTAATATCAACTCAGGGCGGAGATCCGGGCTCGTCCAGTGCCACGCCTTGGATTTCAGGGGATCCGGGCTCATCCAGCGCGATCGCGGAGGATCCAAGCTCATCCAGCGCCATAATATCGGATCCGAGCTCGTCCAGTGTCACGGCAAGCTTTGGTCTTCCAGGTCCGAGCTCATCGAGCGCCGCAACCGCGATTTCAGAGAATCCGAGCTCATCCAGCGCCATAATGTCGTCTCCAGGCATGGATCCGAGCTCGTCCCTTGCCACAGCACCAGGTCCGAGCTCATCGACCGCGATTTTAAAGGATCCAAGCTCATCCAGCGCGTCTCCAGGCAAGGATCCGATTGCCGCAAGCTCTGGTCTTCCAGGTCCGAGCTCATCGATCGCCTCAGTCTCGATTCCGAAGGTCCCAGTCTCGGAGATCACCGGCCCGGGTGGATTGCTCCATGGTCCGTCGCGTCTATCACGCGCTGGCCCGACCCCGATCGCGAGCGCCGACGATAAAGGCAAGGGGATACTGATCGAGGAAAGCGAGTCCATCAGCAGCGGCAAATCATCCACCGGGTCAGTTGCTACTGTCATTGGCAACATTGGCAGTTCTTTCTCTCCTCCTCCAAGCTCTCCAGGAGCGCCACCCGCGTTGCCACCGCCACACCCCCATCAGCGCTGGTATCAGAAGTGCTGTAGGTGCTCCCGCTGCTGCCACAGCGGCTGTAGCATCCTCTAGATCCTTTCTTCCTTTCGTTCGTCGGGTCTTTCGTTTTGGCGGTGTCTTCTCCGTCCTCGCTCTCTCGTTCCCTCAATTGGTCGTTCACAAGCTCTTCTATCGATTGATCGCTGCTTATGGCTACTATAGACTCGACGACCACCCCGGTGAGCTTTGAAGCATGTCTCTCTTTGATTGTGTTTTGACATCCTTGGACAGCTCTTTGATCTTCGCCACCATTTTTGTTTCTACCTTCTGTTTTTCCGTTTTCGAGAGTACATTGCTAGCTTCTTTCGACCAAATGGAGAAGAAGTTTATGGTAGTTGCGATGGGACGGCGTCTTCTGGTAAGCTCTTGGGATGTTTTAAAGTCGCCTGTCGATTTACAGTTTTGTTTTCGCTCTTCTTTCTTCTTTTTGTTGTTCTTGCGAGATCAGTCACTCGGACCTCTAAACAACGAACCAACAGAGAGAGAAGTAGTGTTCCAGCGTGCGTACAACTCGAGCTCCACAAAACGAACCTCCAGATCGAGAGTACTGTTCCAGCGAAAGCAAATGGCGTGTAAGTAACCATATAATAGAAACATTTTCGTTTCAAACCTTTACAGAAGCAAACCGGACTGCTCAGTCGTCCAAGTAATAGTAAGATCCGGCAGCCTTTTGCTCGCGATCTTTGGTGGAGTCGAGCTTGTTGATCCGCGGCCTAAAGTTCGTGGGATCACGCCGGAAGGTGATGTCCAGGTGCTGCGCAAAGCGAAAGAGTGGAATCAAATCAGCCATGAACGCCTGGAGAAGGAGAGAGAAAACGCTACTCACCGAGAGGAACAGGTTCATCCCCGTGAGGAGACTCTGGGGCGAGTTGGCAACGCACTCCACCGACGGTTTTTCTTCGTAGACGATGACCCTGTCCGCCAAGTACGTTGCCATGATCAAGTCGTGCTCCACCACGAAGGCCGTCTTCTTGGCGTGGAGGATGAAGCGCTTGATCACCTTGCACGCCACGAGTCGCTGCTCGGAGTCCAAGTGAGCGCTGGGCTCGTCGATCAGATAGATGTCCGCGGGCTGCCAAGGCAAATGGTTTGATATGCTGCGAGGATAAGTTCAAGGAAAAGCGCTACTACCTTTCCAAGGCAAAGGCAAATAGCAACGCGCTGGCGCTCGCCACCCGATAAGTTGGCAACTTCCCGGTCCATGAGTGCCTCAATCTGGAGAGGCTTCATCACGTCCGTGTTGAATTGAGGATGAAAGCACGAGTCTCGGATCTTGGTGTGCAGCAAATGCCGGACCGTGGACTGGGACTTGGAGTTGATGTGTTGTGGCTTGTATGAGACGTTGAACTCGGGAATTTCTTCCGAGTCACGAGCGTCGTCGTCGGATTTTAGCAGCCCAGCCTGAGATTATAGAAAAGCTTTGCATGTCACGAGAAAATAGTTCTGGAAACTTACCAGCATTCTTATGAAAGTGGTCTTTCCAGTGCCATTCTCGCCGAGCATCACAATGATCTGCGAGTCTGTAAAGTTCCCCTCCTTGACTTGAAGCTTGAAGCTTCCTTGAGTCCTCGACATGGCAGGATACTTATACCGAGTGTACGTCCGGACTTCCTCGGGGCTCTCTTGAGCGCTCTCGGCAACCTTGCATTGACATAATCCCTGTTTTAATTGCAAGTTAGTGAAAACAATTCTTACCTTGAATGTGAGGGACACTTCACGGAACCGCACGTTTTCCGTATGAATGTATCCAGCGAGGAATATGTTTATGCCTTCCCTCACAGAGAAAGGGAGCGTCACAACACCATACGCACCGGGATTTCCATAGAGGCAGCAAACATAGTCGGATAGATAGTCGAGAACACTCAGATCATGCTCCACGACAATCACATAGCTGCATTGCAACCTCAGAGTAAGTCGAGGGGAACGAGGGAAACCAAGAAGGAAAAAAACATGTACCTGTTTGGTGTGAGAAGGGACCGAATGACTTGAGCAGCCTTGAGCCTCTGCCGAACATCCAGAAAGCTGGATGGCTCATCAAACATGTAGACGTCTGCTTTTTGCACGGCCACCTCGGCTATAGCAAAGCGTTGGAGCTCTCCACCAGACAAATCATCCAGATTTCGGTCCAAAACATCGATCAAATCAAGATCATGGCAAACATCCTCCATCACGCCTCGTTCATCCTTCCGCGAGAGAGCTTCACCGACGGTGCCTTTAATTACCTTCGGAACGTCGGAAACGTTCTGCGTTTTCGTGGCCACCTGAGGCAGCAGGCTTCGTTAAGAAATGACTTGAAGAACCCAAGTCCTGTTCCCATACCTTCAAATTATCTTCCAGATATCGCATGAAGTAGTTCTGGAGCTCCGATCCTCTGAAGTATGTCAAGATCTCTTGCCAGTCCGGTGGATCCTACAACGTAACACTGTCATAGGAACAAAACAAATACCGCAAAAGCCAGTACCGCAAAGTTCCCCAAGTTGGGCTTGAGGAACCCGTGAAGAACTTTCAAGGCGGTCGTCTTTCCAATTCCATTCGTCCCAACGAGACCCAAGACCTGGCCCGGCTTTGGAACAGGCAGCCTGTTTACGAGAACACTAGTACTACGCATCTAGAAAACCAAGCAAACCTGTGTAGCTTGAAAGTGTTCGCTCCATACCGATGCGTGGTTTCTTTGTCCAACTCCTTAGGAAGCTTGATGATATCTATCGCTCCAAATGGACATTTCTGCCACACAAACCACTGATCGAAACAAGACGGGAAGGGGGAATCGAAGTGGCCGACCTTCACGCAAATCCCACATCCAATGCAGAGCTCCTCCGAAATGGACGAGATCTTGGATGCCGGAGAGACCTCGATGCAAAGCTTCCCTGGAAATTCGAATCTCAGATCGCATACCTTTCAAGAGATGAGAACAAAATTTGCCTGTTTTCACCACTGGGCAGCTCTTCTTGCACTCCTGATGGTACTTCTTGGGCTTGCAACGATCAGAGTTGACCACGGCGATCCTCATCGCTCTCCTCCCGCCTTCTCGGCGACTTGATAAACCCTATTTTGTATACTCATAAAGGAAATCTCCTTTACTTTTTTCAAGCTAAACTCTTTGATCTAAAAATGCGGGTAAAATCTATCCAAAATCCCTGGAGCGTGGAGACAAGTAGCATTAATTATAGTCATTCTCTCGCAATATAATGTGGCTGCGCTTGTGATCGTTTCTATCCAAGAATGTGTATCACCAAGGAGTGCGCCGATCCCACTGAGGCTGGAGTTTACTGGAGGGAGGACGATTGCTGGGTGCGATACAGCGCAAGCACCGAGCATGCCATTCGTGACGGTCACAAGAACAAGGTCTGCTATGTCATTGCGTTCTAGCAATAGCTTTCCAGTTTTGTTGTTTGATTTGATAGATCTCCAAGGGACGAGCATCGAATGTTTCTCTGGGAAGGATCACCTCTGCGAAGTATCCCAATGGACTTGACTACCAGATCGATCTGGAGCGCATGGAGCAAGTTAACTTGCGGAGTGGCTATCGACGGGAGATCAAGATCATCGGAAAAGTAAAAGTTGGAACTCTTTTGTTCTTTCGCAAGCTCCAGTTTCCTGCTTTTTCTCCAGGATCCCGAGGATCAAGCAATCGAGCACGCAGTCGAGGAGCTCCTCCAGCTCATGAACAAGGAGAGTTTCCTCAAGAAGGTGGTCACGGAAAAGCATCCAGAGATA